TAATGCGCAAAGAGTCCAAATCAGGGTTGGACCATTCACTTCTTTGACCATAGCTGAAAGAGTATGCAGGCATAGGACTGCTGCGGACTACTTACAGTACTTTTTGTGTAGTGAAAATTTACTTTCAGCACCTGAATCCATCATCATTAAACCTTTTGCAGGAACTCGAAGCTTTGGAAAATGAGAAAAATAAAATGGAAGTTGACGAGGCGTTGTCTGACTTGGATTGTGACTCGTCATTACTTGATGAATCGCTTCTATGTTTGGGAAGTGACGACGAGTTCGAGGTGCGTTGCGCTGTCTTACAGTCTTGTTCGCTGCGGATGAAGGGGCGTGTCAGGCAGAATGCGTGCGGCACAGTGCCAAACTCGCTCTCCTGCAATTGTTGGAGCGATTAAGTGACAACAATTTGGGGAAAACGACTGGTATGAACGATATGATACCATCGCTTTGATAAATGGTGGGAAATAGGTTTGGCACCGCGCCAAACCCATCTCGTCTGATACACCCGCCTGTTTGCTCAATCTGCAGAACGTTGAATGATCATATTTCTAGGATGAGCGACTACTAGATGAGGCGTTTTTGAAGAAGTGCGGCCGAAGAGTAATGGAAGTGTATTTCAATGTGATAAAGGACTATAATGAAAGGCTCAAGAAAGAGGAAGCGGTAAGGCCCTTCTAAAGGATGTTGGATTCAAACTTGTTGGATTTTCCTTTTCCTGTTAGCTAAACCCCGTTTCCTTATGGTTTGCTTAGTTCTGTTCTTAAAGTTGGATACCATGTTTTTTTGTGTAATTGTATTCGCTTGGATATTTATATTCGTTTCAGCCCAACTTTCTTAGAGTTATCAAGAAACTTCCAATCCGTCGTTATCACACATATGATGACTCTACGCCTGGAGAGCTATATCTTGAGCCAGATGACATGAGCGAATTCATCACACATTTCAAGGTACTTTTTCCAGGCGCTCTATTGATAACATTTTGTTGCTTACACAGTTTGGACATGGGAACAGGAATGAGCAGGCGTGATGCGGGCAGTTGAAAGGAGGAGAATAAGTGCGAGAAAACAAAGAGCAAAGCAAGTCTGGGACGCAATTCACAGACGGGGTAGAGAGTGCATTTGAAACTTCCACTGCTTCGCTCGCAACTAGTTTTTTTTTCAGTGGCCCCGCGGCTGGACACAGCAAGTCATTGTATAGGCCTAATCACAAAAAGCCGCTAATGTTCTGGTTTTGAATAGAAATGGGATGTTGAGCGCATACCACAAGAGGATAAATCAGCGCCGGGACTTTCTGTGAAATTTTGTCTAGGACCAGACCATCAATTTTGTACATCGTCTTGAACAAGATTGCAACGATGAGGATCTAAAGGCAAATCTTCGGCAACCGTGCACACTCGATGCCCTAGGGATGAGGTGGGCGTGGCTGCGTACTTTGTTTGAATGTGGCGGCGGCTGCGTATTTGGTGTGATTGTTTTGAGACACTTTTAATCATGCCCACGAGGCTGGATTACAGTGTTTTTCAGATGGAAATATCCCGCGAAAAGCCCATCTCGTGCTATGCTTAAATGGAGTACGCAGTCACGCCCTCCCTATCTCCGGGTTAGGCAGCGTTCAGACTTCGCGACGGCAGCGCTTCGGTCGCGCGTTCGACGCGATCGATGCGCATGCTTTCGACTGCATCGATCGCGTCAAACGCGCCACCAAAGCGCTGCCGTCGCGAAGTCTGAACGCTGCCTTATGAACCGCACCTTGGCTCAGAACATTGAGGTCAACAGTTTACTCGAATATCCGCTTAAGACCCATCGAAAATAGGGTTGCATAGTGCATGAATTATATGACATTCGCTGAAACATGTGCCATGAGATGACAAGCTTAGGCGCTGAAATTACTCTTTAAGTTCTCATGTTGAATTATTGAGAGTAAAAAATGTATTCTGCCGAGTTTCAGATTACTGACTGCCGAAATATGAACGCGCAGCGGTGTGGTGTTCGTTTTCTGCCAGCGCTCGAGCTTCGTCCAAGAACGGCATATTGGGTGCATACAGAGTGCAACATCAGAGTAAGCCGATTTCAATCTTAAGAAGAAGGATAATCTCAGGATTGGTGTGATTAATAGAAGATTAACTATAATCTTAGGATTAACTTTTCTTGGGTTCTCTTTTTTCTTTGGACGGTGTTGTCACTCTACACTTTCATAGTGTTTAAATAGGAGCGTTTATTTTGCAGGCAGATGAAGAGCACAGACTTTCACACATTCCATTTGTCAGCGAAGATCATGACGACAAGCAGTTTTGTGCTGAGCTGAGAAAGTTATATGACGAGGTAAGTTTTTTGCGGCAGCACCGCCCACTCAATTCTGCGTAAAGTATTAGGTTGGCGGGAAAGTTCTGTCATACTTTTTTGAACTCAAAATACTTGCCTATTACCTGAAGAGGGGTAACCGGTAATGTGAGCACTTATACATCAAAGAGTGGTCTTTCTATTAGTACCACTCGCTTGACTCCTGCTTCTTCTTCTTCTGCAATATGGACAAGAATGTTATCCGCTACCATCGGCACCGACCCCTCCAAGCGCTTCCTCAAACTCTTTCTTCTACCACCCTGACGCCAGCATGACAGCTGCCGATGCCAAAATAATGGAGCTGCATGAGGACGATGCCCTCATTTATCGGACAACCTTCCACGGCGCTAATGCTTCAAAGCGGAAACCTACAGTTTTGATGACGAAGTGAGGTTTGGGTGTACCTGTGAGTTCAGCTTGAGGGAGCTGCGGATTGTGAAACTGCTGAATGATGAATCCGTACGCAAAGCAGCTAGAAGCCCTGGAGCGGATAGTCGAGCAGAGGGAAAAATTTGTCCGCACTCCGCCTTCAACATGATAGTGCAGCCCACTACGTCCATAAAGGTCGAGCCAAACTTCAAGCTGGATGGCTCTTCCCTTGCATCGGTGAAGCCCCGAAATAGCTCCTTCTAACTGCTAGTTGCCTCCCGTACTAACCGTTATTTGGACGAGAAAACCTCCACGACCCGAGCCCAAGTCAAAATTGAGATGATGTCCTTTGCGTCGCGCCGGCCTGCATTGTGAAGCGATGGCATCCATGAGGTGCTCAAAAACTGGCAAGAACCCCGCAATAACATTGCTGTATAATTTTGATCTTGTACGCCTCTCTATAAAAAAGCCTAATTTGAAAAAATGTGACAGAACTTTCCCGCCAACCTAATAATTTTCAATCACAGACTGTGCGCGGTTTCAATCACCAGCGCGACACATTGCGATTGTCCTGTCACGTAACCCTACCCATGTAGTCGGTTTAAGCGGTAGGGTTAGGGGAAACAAGTATGTATAGATCATGGGATTTTTAGGTTGTGTAAAAACATCATGAATGTGGAAATACAAAAGCAAAGCGGCGGTTTTTTGAATGCGGACGCTTACTCTTGAATACTTTCTCACGTTTTTTTTTGGCGAAATTTCGGTTATAATCCGGGTTAGGAAACTGATAACTAGAAAGTCTCTAGATCTCAAGTGATATCATTTTCAAGCTCTTCTTCTTAAAGGCAGTTGGCACGATAAATCCCCCAAGACGACTAGGATCAATACTCCTGGCAGGATAGAATTCCGCGACCCTGGGCAGGCGCTGCATAGCGGTTTCCCCGAGGAAGGTGCCCTTATAAGGGCCCTATCAAGCCACAACTTTACGTCCCAAACGCCCGCCACGCTCGCCCGCCC